GCTGAGATCACACCACTGCACTCCAACCTGGGCGACAAGAGCAAAACTCTGTCTCAAAGGAAAAAAAAAAGAGTTTATTAAGTACCAAGTGCTAGGCCGGGCACGGTGGCTCACGCCTGTAGTCCCAGCACCTTGGGGGGCTGAGGCGGGTGGATCACTGGAGGTCAGGAGTTTGAGACCAGCCTGGCCAACATGGTGAAACCCCGTCTCTACTAAAAAAAATACAAAAAAAAATTAGCCGGGCATGTGTGGTAAGGCATGCCTGTAATTCCAGAGACTCAGGAGGCTGAGGCAGGAGAACTGCTTGAACCCAGGAGGTGGAGGTTGCAGTGAGCTGAGATTGTGCCACTGCACTGCAGCCTGGGAGACATAGTAAGACTCTGTCTTAAAAAAAAAAAAAAGTTTCAAGTGCTATGATTGCAGGAATTAGCTTGTTTCATTTTCTCATAATCCGTATGTTTCTTGTGTGAGAGAGGATATTGTACAGGTATTGTTATCCTTATGTTACAGCAGTGGAAACTGAGACTTAGGTTAATCAATTTGCTATTTATTTAGGTAGAAGTAGCAGAGCTAGGATCTAATCCTTGCTCTGCCTCCAGTTCCCGAAGTGTCACGCATGAGAAGTCCTGAGGCAGGATAGGATAGTGGGTAAGAATATGGGCTATAGAGTTAAGCAGACTTGGGTTCAAATTTTGGCTGTAGTGCTTATTGGTTACATGACCTTAGACAAATTGCTTAATTTTTCTGAACCTCAGTTTCCTCATATGTAAAATGAGGACAATACCACACATAATAGTTTTGAGGAAAAAATAAGACAATGCATTGTAAAATGTATAGCACAGTGCTTGGCACCTGGTAGGGTCTCAATTAAGGTAGCAAGCCAATAATCAAGGACATTGGTCTGAGAGGATCAGTCATTCAGAGTAGCAGTGCTGGGAGTGCTGGGCCCCTGCTATATCAATGCTAGGAGGACTCACATTTGGGTCAGGGCTTGACCTTTGTATTCCTGGGACTACTTCTCCCCCAACAGATGAAAAGTTGGAAGCAAGTCCAGCCTCAAGTCCCCTGGCAGACTCAGGCACAGACGACTTGGCTCCTGCCCTGGAGGATTCCCTGTCCCAGGAGGTGCAGGACTCCTTCTCCTTCCTAGAGGACTCAAGCAGCTCAGAACCTGAGTGGGTGGGGGCAGAGGATGGGGAGGTGGCCCAGGCAGAATCAGCAGGAGCAGCCTTCTCCCCTGGGGAGGACGACCCTGGGATGGGCTACCTGGAGGAGCTCCTGGGAGTTGGGCCTCAGGTAAGGAGAGTCGTGCTGGGTTTGGGGGTGGCATGGAGTCAAGGGTGGACAGGGCCTTCTGGTCCTGAGCCACCACGCTGTGCCTACAGGTGGAGGAGTTCTCTGTGGAGCCACCCCTGGATGACCTGTCTCTGGATGAGGCACAGTTTGTCTTGGCCCCCAGCTGCTGTTCCCTGGACTCCGCTGGCCCCAGGCCTGAAGTTGAGGAGGAAAATGGGGAGGAAGTTTTCCTGAGTGCCTATGATGACCTAAGTCCCCTTCTGGGACCTAAATCTCCAATCTGGGAGGGTGCAGGGAGTCTGGAGGGAGAGGCAGCAGGATGTGGAAGGCAGGCTCCGGGAGAGGCTGGGGAAGAGCAGGCATGCTGGGAAGTTGGGGAGGACAAGGAGGCTGAGCCTGGTGGCAGGCTAGACATCAGGGAAGAGGCAGAGGGAAATCCAGAAACCAAGGTGGAGGCTGGAAAGGCCAGTGAGGATACAGGGGAGGCTGAGGGAAGCCAAGAGACAAAAGTCAGATTGAGAGAAGGGAGTAGGGAAGAGACAGAGGCCAAAGAAGAGAAGTCCAAAGGTCAGAAGAAGGCTGACAGTATGGAGGCTAAAAGTGTGGAGGAACCAGAAGAGCAGTATACCGATGAGGAGAAGGAAACAGAAATTGAGAGAGAAGAGGCTGAACAAAGAAAGGAAGCCCAGGTAGAAGCTGAAAGGGACCTAGAGCAAGGGGCCCAGGAAGATCAAGTTGCTGAGGAGAAATGGGAAGTTGTACACAAACAAGAAGCCGAGGGAGTCAGAGAGGATGAAGACAAAGGACAGAGGGGGAAGGGGGAGTATGAAGCAAGAAAAGACCAAGGAGATGGTGAAGACAGCAGAAGCCCAGAAGCAGCAACTGAAGGAGGAGCAGGGGAGGTCAGCAAGGAACGGGAGAGTGGGGATGGAGAGGCTGAGGGAGACCAGAGGGCTGGAGGGGACTATTTAGAAGAGGGTACCCTCTCTGAAGGCTCAGGTGTAGAGTCCCTGGAGGTTGACTGTGCCAAAGAGGACAATCCTCACTCTTCTGATATGGAAGAGGCAGCCCCACAGCCACCCCAGTCAGAGGAGAAGGAGTCTGAGGGGCAGCCCAGTTCAGATGGCTGTCTATGTCCCTGTTCCCTTGGCTTGGGTGGCGTGGGCATGCGTCTAGCTTCTACTCTGGTTCAAGTCCAACAGGTCCGCTCTGTGCCTGTGGTGCCCCCCAAGCCACAGTTTGCCAAGATGCCCAGTGCAATGTGTAGCAAGATTCATGTGGCACCTGCAAATCCAAGCCCGAGGCCTGGCCGGCTTGATGCGACTCCTGGAGAAAGGGCTTGGGGGCCCCGAGCTTCTCGATCCTCTTGGAGGAATGGGGGTAGTCTTTCTTTTGATGCTGCTGTGGCCCTAGCCCGGGACCGTCAAAGAACTGAGGCTCAGGGAGTTCGGCGAACCCAGACCTGTACTGAGGGTGGGGATTACTGCCTCATCCCCAGAAACTCCCCTTGTAGCATGATCTCTGCCCATTCTCCTCGGCCCCTTAGCTGCCTGGAGATCCCACCTGAAGGCGCAGAAGGGTCTGGATCCCGGAGTCGTCTTAGTCTGCCCCCCAGAGAACCCCAGGTTCCTGACACCCTGTTGTCCCCTCAGCGCCGATCGTATGCATTTGAAACACACGCTAACCCTGAGAAAGGTGAGGGACTGTGATTAGGACCACAGCCCTGGGCAAAGGGGACCAGTAAGTTGTCTTCAATCTCCAGGGTTCCTGACTAGCTGTCTCTTCTGCAGCCTAAGCAGCTGTAGTGCCCAACTCTATAGGCTTTGGCCCTCCAGCTTCTCTGACTGTGGGAGGCACTGCCTTGTCTCAGACACAAAGCACTTATCTCTTAGGAGATTCCCAAGAAAGTCAACAAGATCTTGTTCCCAGGGAGTGGGTTACTGGCCAAAGGGAACATAAGGTAGGCAGAAAAGTCAAAAGAGTTTCTTAAAGTGAAGACTGGAGAAGTTCCTCTCTTCCTCTGAGCTATGAATCTCTCTTCATGAAAGCCAAAGGTAGAGATGGGGGACAGGGCCAGGTTAGGGCCTTCCATACACAAACACTTCTAGAGTTGCCCATTCCTGTTCTGCTCTTGGACCCTTAGATACCTCCTGTCCTTTTTAGATCCAGATTAAGAGAAATGTCCAGGAAGCTCTTTGAAACCCTCAGTATTTGTTGGAGGGACCGGACTCCTCTCCAGCTCCCCACCCTCTGCCTCCAGTCACCATGTACAAGAGAGGTCCTGTACAGATGTCTCTGGGCTCTCGTTTTTCCTTTAGAATAACTTCTTCCTATTTCAGGAAAGGGAAATGGTGTCACTCAGGCCCTGGGACTGCTTCTCCAGCCAGGTTGGGGCCATAGGTCCCACTCTAGTGAAGGTCAATGTCTCAGAATAAAAGCTGTATTTTTACACATAGTGTGGAGTCTCATTACTCTTATTAAAGTCTTTGGTGATAGCTATTATATCTTCATATGTTTGGCAAAATATTCTTTTTCTTCTTGTCGTTTGGGTGCTCTTCCTCAGTTGTTGTCATGGAGACTAGTGGCTAGAAACTAGAGCTAGGTTCATGGTGGTCACGAAATAAGGAAGAGAAACTTGTATTTACATAATGCTCATTATGTGCCAGGAACTGGACTAAGTCATAAAATCTGTGTCCTTGATTTTATTTAATCCACATAATTCTGGAAGGTTGGTGCTAGTATCTCCAGTTTATAGATGAGGAAACTAAGGCTCAATTAAGTCAAAATGTTTGCCAAAGGTCTCAGAGTTAAGAAGTGGCAGAGATGGGTTTGAAACCTGGATCTGCCTCGTCCCCAAATCTGAATTCTTCCTATTATACCACACTACTCCAAATCCATTCAGGGCAGGTCTTGATTGAGAAGAACAGGAATCAAGATTCCTGTCACAGAAAGTGTGAGCCTTTAGAAAACTAGAAGCTTTGGGGTCTTTGGGTTGGTGACTGCCGACGCGAATAACAAGGAACATACCCAGTTCTATGCATGCCCTGATAGGTCGTAATCTCTAGCAGGTACGTAATCTTTCAAAAAGACGCCCTGAGCCAAGATGGCCTCCCAAATAGCCCTTGTTAAAGATGGCGCCTCGGTCAGACGTCCCTCCCTTCATCTCAGCTGGATTTTTTCTCTTTTTTCCTGGAATGAAAAAATGCCCTGCCAGCACTAAGATGTCAGTACAAGTTAGTCGTCTCTTTCCCGTTCTTGTCGAAAGTGGCCAGGACTTCAGCTACATACTCCAGGACACGGCTTCTTTCCGACTGCACAGAAAACCCACAAACATCAGCTCTCATCAAGATGGAGTGAGCGGAAGTGGGGCGGCTCTGAGTTTGAGTTTGTGGGCGGGGCGAGAGCGACACTTCCGCCCCTCACCAACATGGCCGCGGGCTGCAAGTGCGCATGAGCAGCTGTCTATGGAGCTACCTAGGTCGGGAGAGGGAGAACACAGTTGGAGAAAATCGGCGGCTGAGACGGCCTTGGCCGGTGAGTGTAGGACCGGGCAGAAGTCTGGAAACTGGGTGGACTGGCAAGGCAGGGCAGCTTTGATTTTGTTTCCTTTTTTCTGGTTAGAGAACACTGCTGGGGAGGAAGCCTTTGTTTTGGGCAGGGGGGGAGGGTTGTGCTGGTTCTTTATCTTCTACCCTGCTTTGTGGGCCAAAGTCCCTGCCCCCGAGCGCGAGCGTCCCAGCCCTCCTGCGCTGTCCAGCTGCGGGCCGCAGCCGCCGGCACCGGGCGCCTGAGCTCCCTAGTCCCCGATGTCCTTTACTGCCTCCTCCGCGGAGCAGCTGGGGCGCGGGGCTAGACTGCGGGGCTGCCGGTCACGGCGCAGGCTCCCGGGCTCGCGCCTGGCGGGCGCTCAGCTCCTTAAGCGCCTTCTGGTTGGAGAGCCTGCAGGGAGACGCCTCATTCTCAGGCAAGGTCTAGGCGCCTGACTTCTTTCGGGAGTAGATTTTTTTCCCTTTGTGTCCAGACTTAGCAAGGGCTCTTACTGGGCCCTTCTGGCCTGAGCGTGCACACCACAACGTCCCATTCCAGTTTCCGTGTCACAGATCCTAATGCCTAGGAAATGCTTCCGGATGTCCAACTAAGATTTGAATAAGTACCCTGACCCCGTTGCTAGGTGTCCTCAGAGACTGCCCCGGCTGACAGCTGTGGCCAATAGAGATGACTCCTGTGCCGGGCCCTCTATTTCATTGCCTTCCCCTGCAGTCAGCGCGGCAAGCTTCGCAGGGCATTTCCTCTTCAGGTTTGAAGATGGAAATGTAGGTGGTCCCAAAACACTAGTGTTACTTCCCCTTATCGACTGGGATCTCCTTGCAGCGTTACTTCCTCTGGACGGTTTCACTTTCAGTTCCCTTTTCAACATTTTCCTCGGACGCGGTCTTTCCAAGGCTTATCCACTGAAAATTTTCCTTGGATAGGAAAGGTTTGGAGGACCTTATGGGTAGAGAATTTCTAAAAATCTTGCCCCTTTTGTGTTGGGATTATCTTATTGCTTTGTACTGTGTAGCTGTTTCTTTCTGGAGGCATGTCTGCCCAGCTCTTTGTTTTTCCTGCCCTCTGGCTGGGTGTCAGGGTCCTAAGGCAGAGCTTGTAGGTGGATTCTTCCCCCTTTGTCTCTTCTTCAGAACCCGGTTTTTTTTTTTTTTTTTTTTTTTTTTTTTTAACCCCTTCTTGCTGAGGCTCAGTTGATTTGGAGTTGTCATAGCAACATTTTAGCAACTGTGTTGTTCTACAGGAAGGCTTGATGAATAAAATAGAGGGTGCTTGAAGAGGATCCACTTGGGCTTTAGGGTTTCTAACAGATTATATAAATCGGAATACCCCAAAACAAGAGTCCTGTCAGTAGAATGGGGCCCAAAGGCCAAGTCTAGTCTTTGTACTCAGGGACATTCTTCCAGTGGTAGTGGGCTTGAGATTTCCTCTTCCTAGGTTTGAGAACAGAAATGTCTTGGTGGACAATATGTGGCTGAGAAACTGGAAGAAGTATCAGTGTCCATGACACGGTATTTTTTGATGGTGGGGCCAATACATGGCCCTTCCTGATTCCCAGGAGGCTGCCATCATGGCAGGTCATAATAGCTTTAATAGTGATCCATTTAGAAATGTGTTGTTGGCTGGGTGTGGTGGCTCATGCCTGTAATCCCAGCACTTTGGGAGGCTGAGGCAGGCGGATCACCTGAGGTCAGGAGTTCCAGACCAACCTGGCCAACATGGTGAAACCCCATCTCTAATGAAAAATACAAAAATTAGCCGGGCATGGTGGTGGGCGTGTATAATCCCAGCTATTCAGGAGGCTGAGGCAGGAGAATCACTTGAACCCGGGAGACAGAGGTTGCAGTGAGCTGAGATCACGCCACTGCACTCCAGCCTGGGTGACAGAGTGAGACTCTGTCTCGAAAAAAAGCGTTGTTTCTGTCTTCCAGTATAATTATCCCCTCTCTACCAGGAGTTGGAGTGATAATGGAGGGACGAGGAACACTATTTGTAGAGTTGCTTTTTCAATCACTGTAGGCCAGTCCTCAACATCAGTATGGTGGAGGCTGATTGTCCCCTGCAGATGACTGGGTTATTTTCCTGGCTGTGTGTTCATGGAACCTAAGTTCTAGAACCGGAGATACTGTTCTGTTTCCTAGACTCACTGCAAACTTCATGATTTCTACCAGGACTTAGCACTCAGGCCTGTGAATAGGAGATACAAAGACTTCCAAAAAAGGACCAGTTCCTCGGATGTGCCCCCTCACAGAGAGATGAAGGGGTGAGTGAAGAAGGGGTAGGGTCTGGGATGAAAGATGGGTGGCCTGGAAGAATGCAAAATGGCCAAGAGCACTGCCTCTGGAGTCAGGCAGACCTGGATTCAGGTTCTACTCTATCACTTACTGTGTGATTTGGTTTCTTCATCTATAAAACGGAAGTAGTGCTATCTATCTCATGGTGTTGTTTTTAATATTAAATAAGAGTACATGTGATGTACTTAGCTTAGTACTTATGTACATAGTAAACAGCAAACACTAGTTGTTATTCTAACCTAACTCAGCTTCTGTTGGGAATGCCAATGAGTTTGCAGCCATATGTTACTGGGCCGGTGAGCTTCTCATTGACTTCTTCCCATACTCTTCCTTTTGTCCTTTCACCACAAATAGGCAGCAGAAAACAGCTGAAACGGAAGAGGGGACAGTGCAGATTCAGGAAGGTGAGTGCTAGAGACAGAACCAAGACTAAGAACCCATCATGGCCTCCCTTCCTCCCCCACCAGACCATCTCCTGTGCATCCTCCTCCTTCAGTGACATGCACTTGGAATGGGGATAGAAAGGCAGTTAACTCACAGACTTTTCTTTTGTCCTTTTAATTCAGGTGCAGTGGCTACTGGGGAAGACCCAACCAGTGTGGCTATTGCCAGCATCCAGTCAGCTGCCACCTTCCCTGACCCCAACGTCAAGTACGTCTTCCGAACTGAGAATGGGGGCCAGGTAAGGGAGGGGGCCAGGCGGCTGCAGGTGTTATTTGGGATTGGGATGGAGGGAGGTAATTGAACATGTCTTGGGGAGATCTGGCTTGGAGGATGAGTTCAAAGAGTGGACTGTTTCAGGGGAGGGGGGTACTGATACTGGACTAGAGACTGGTGTGAGGTTAGGTGTATGCTGAAACCTCTGTGTGGGGAGAGAAGGGAGAATGGCTCAATCCATGTCTCTGAAGGACTTTGTTTTGGAGCCCTATCCAAGGGAAGCTTTATGAGGGGCCTTAGGATTCCCAACACTTAATCTTTTATTCTCTCTTTCCCTCCCTCTGCCTTCCTCTACACTTCTAGGTGATGTACAGGGTGATCCAGGTGTCTGAGGGGCAGCTGGATGGCCAAACTGAGGGAACTGGTGCCATCAGTGGCTACCCTGCCACTCAATCCATGACCCAGGTACAGGGTATGGGCTGGGGAGGTGACTAGAGTTCTGAGAAGTAAGATGAAGAAGGGTATTAGTAGGATGGGGGTGAAGCTAGGAACAGTGAGGCATCTAGGGCTGCCTTGTCCCAAAGCACTAGGCTCTCCTTTCCTGGATGTTTCTCTCTCTCTCTCTCTCTCTCAGGCGGTGATCCAGGGTGCTTTCACCAGTGATGATGCAGTTGACACGGAGGGGACAGCTGCTGAGACGCACTATACTTACTTCCCCAGCACGGCAGTGGGAGATGGGGCAGGGGGTACCACATCGGGGAGTACAGCTGCTGTTGTTACTACCCAGGGCTCAGAGGCACTGCTGGGGCAGGCGACCCCTCCTGGCACTGGTGAGATATTGCATGAGGATGCTGGCTGAAAGGGCTAGAATAGGCTGTGGGACTTGACTGGTAGGCAGTGAGCCTTCACTCATGACTCTTAGTGATCATTAAGATCTGGGCAGGCAGTGAGTCCGGGGCTGCTCTTCTGTTAACATGTTCTTTTTAGAGGAGGGGCCCAGGGTCTTCACCTCAGGGCTTGGTGAGGTTCCTACCCATGTCCTGACAGAACCTACCCTGCATCTTTGCAGGTCAATTCTTTGTGATGATGTCACCACAAGAAGTACTGCAGGGAGGAAGCCAGCGCTCAATTGCCCCTAGGACTCACCCTTATTCCCCGTGAGTGACACTTGTTTCTTCTCAAATTTCATAAGTGTTTTTTTGTTTTTGTTTTTTTTTTCTGAGACAGAGTCTTGCTCTGTCACCCAGGCTGGAGTGCAGTGGCGTGATCTCAGCTCACACAACATCTGCCTCCGGGGTTCAAGCGTTTCTCATGCCTCAGCCTCCCAAGTAGCTGGAACTACAGATGTGTACCACCACCCCTGGCTAATTTTTGTATCTTTTTTTGTTTGTTTGTTTGGTTTTTTTTTTTTGAGACGGAGTCTCGCTCTGTTGCCCGGGCTGGAGTGCAGTGGCCGGATCTCAGCTCACTGCAAGCTTCACCTCCCGGGTTTACGCCATTCTCCTGCCTCAGCCTCCCACGTAGCTGGGATTACAGGCGCCCGCCAACTCACCCGGCTAGTTTTTTTTGTGTGTGTATTTTTTAGTAGAGACGAGGTTTCACCGTGTTAGCCAGGATGGTCTCGATCTCCTGACCTCGTGATCCACCCGTCTCGGCCTCCCAAAGTGCTGGGATTACAGGCTTGAGCCACCGCGCCCGGCCTAATTTTTGTATCTTTAGTAGAGACAGGGTTTCATCATGTTGGCCAGGCTGGTCTCGAACTCCTGACCTCAATCCGCCTGCCTCGGCCTCCCAAAATGCTGGGATTACAGGTGTGAGACAACACACCCAGCTACCCATAAGTGGTCCTAGTACCTGCTAAATCTTGTATAATTCCTTAACTCCAAACTCCAATCATGTACTTTTGTCTTCTTACTCTGGCCACCCTGGGCTCTGTTGTCAGGAAGTCAGAAGCTCCCCGGACGACTCGGGATGAGAAACGCAGGGCTCAACATAATGAAGGTAGGTATGATCCGGGTGGAGCTAGGAGCTGTCTGGTGTGATCTCAGCAGTGATGTCTGAGGGGTGGAGGGTTAGGTAATTTTACCCCGGGACTTGTGGGGAGTTTTCACTGAGTCACCTTGTCCTCCACTTTGCCCCACAGTGGAGCGCCGCCGCCGAGACAAGATCAACAACTGGATCGTGCAGCTCTCCAAGATAATCCCAGACTGCTCCATGGAGAGCACCAAGTCTGGCCAGGTCATGGAAAGACCCTGGTAGTGGGCAGGATGCCTGAATTCTGTCACCTGGTATTGTTTCCAGAAATGGTAGAAAGAGGGGCACACATGACAGTAGTCTTATCTCTCCCTGAGGTTCCTGTATCTCTGGGAGATATTATACCACCTTCCTTAGAGGAAAATGAGGTCCAAAGTATGAACCTACTTTTGGAAAGCAAGCTGGGTATCTGAAATCATAGTCCTGATTTTGTTGACCTTATCTTGCAGAGTAAAGGTGGGATTCTATCCAAAGCTTGTGATTATATCCAGGAGCTTCGGCAGAGTAACCACCGCTTGTCTGAAGAACTGCAGGGGCTTGACCAACTGCAGCTGGACAATGACGTGCTTCGACAACAGGTCAGACTCCTACCCCCAGTGCAGCCCTTCTCAGCTCTGCTAGCCACTGACCCAGTTTTACACCCTCTACTTTGTTCTCCATGGAGAGGGCTTCATCTTTTCCCCTTACCAGTGGATGTCTGAATACATTCAGGGGCTTGGTAGTGCCAACTTTACTACCCATTCCCTTTACTGCCTCCTTCCCTTGTCAGGTGGAAGATCTTAAAAACAAGAATCTGCTGCTTCGAGCTCAGTTGCGGCACCACGGATTAGAGGTCGTCATCAAGAATGACAGCAACTAACTATGGGGATTCAGGGGCTTTGGCCCCAAGAACTGCAGATAGCCCAGGAGCAACAGCCTAATCCTGTGCCCCTTTCCTTCACTGCCCACTTCTGGCATGGGACAGGGGGAAGTTCAGAAGGTGTGTCCTTGAACTGAGGCCCTGTGATAATGGCAGCCTGCAGTGGTGTGAAACACACAATGTGGAGGTGCACTGACAGCCTTGCCCACCCCCACCATGCAACCCCTGGGCCCTTGTGCTCCTCTCGCACAATGCATGTGCTGCCTCCATGCTGGATACTGGACACACTAAACTGGGGGGCTTGTCCTGTACTTGCTTAGAGTGCCCAGCAGAGGTCTGCTGACAGGTGATGCTCTGGCTTGCCCCAGGACTCTGGCACTTCCATTGGTTCTTCCTTTCCCTGGAGCTGAGGTTTAGAGGTGCACCCTGTGGCTCAGGGGAACAAGCTTACACAAGAAGTGGGGGAAGGGTGTTTAGCAGTGGCTGGTGCCCATGAAGAGGAGATTGGCCAGCGAGAAGCTGAGGCCTATGCAGACGTCTCTGAAGCCAGAGAGAACAACAGGCAGGGGTCCACTTGGGGCCTTCCCCCTTATGGGGGTCTTTTTTTTTTTTTCTTTCCTTTTCCTTTTTTTTTTTTTTTTTTTTTTTTTAAGGATAAAATTGTTCAAAGCCACAGTTGTCTGTTTTTCTTCCTTTTGTGGGGCCACAGGCTGGAAGGGAGGGGCATTGCTCTTTGACCAGTAAGGGCTGTGCTAAGTTCAGGGTGGGGTGCTGCTCCTGCACTTATTACCCGGAGACCTGGTTCCTGAGCCAGACCGGTCTGTCGTTTTTGGCTCACGCTACAGAATGTTAAGGGCTTCTGCAGTGAACTGGTGCTAGAGGCGCCGTGAACAGGTGCTGCGGGGGCGGTGCGGGAGGCGGTGCCCTCGCTTCCGGATCCGGTCTCAGCTCCGGGAGCGAGCGGGAGATGCTGCAGGCTACGAGAGGGCGGGCCGGGCCCGCACTCCGGAGACTCGCAGTTGCTGCGCGCACCATGGCTGGAGGTACCTGCGGGGGATGCCTGGGACCGCGGTCCTCTTGGCCCCCTGAGTTGAGGTGTGGCAGGGAGTGGGGTGGGGGAGCGAAGGGACGTGGTTGAGGGGTCTTGGTGCATACCCTACCGGGGAGTGGCGCTGCCAGGTGAGGGGATACCGTGGCGGCCATGACTCCTAGGCCCCTTCTCCTGAAGGCTGTCGCGCCCCTTCCTCAGCGCCCACGGTCTCGCTCCCTGAACTCCGTTCACTCCTAGCCTCCGGCCGGGCCCGACTCTTCGACGTGCGCTCTCGGGAGGAGGCGGCAGCTGGGACCATCCCAGGGGCGCTCAACATCCCGGGTATAGGGTGGAGAGGGGACGCCCAGGTGGTGGAATAGAGCCGTTCAGGAGGGTCTTTGCCAGTGGGACCTCATTTAGGATGGAATGGGGAAGGCACTGATTATGGGGGTCCAGCATTCCCGGGAGCCAGCCCTCAGCTTCCTAGGAAGGACTGATAGGAGGCGGATCCTGGCATCGGAACTGGCCCATCCAGTTTGAGAAGACAGCAGGTGGAGAGGAGAGGGGCAGACCAGCTTCTCTTGACCTCCTCAAGTCTGGACGCCTGAGGGAGCATCCGCCCCGCCTCCTCACGGCTTGGGGAGTGGCTCGCATTCAAAAGTCGTTGGTTTCTGGTTCTTGAAATTGGGGTGGGGGTAGGGGATGGCTATCATATGTTGTTTGGGGGCCCCCAGGACCCAGCCTTTCCAGGCCCAGCTTCCGAACCTGAGTGCCAAACTGCCGGCTTTCCCTTCTACCCTCTCCACTCCTCCAGTGTCCGAGTTGGAGAGTGCTCTGCAGATGGAGCCAGCTGCCTTCCAGGCTTTGTACTCTGCTGAGAAGCCAAAGCTGGAAGATGAGCATCTCGTTTTCTTCTGTCAGATGGGCAAGCGGGGCCTCCAGGCCATGCAACTGGCCCGGAGTCTTGGATACACTGGGTACGGGGAGGTATGGCTGCTAGCTGGGAGGTGATGGGGACTACCTATCATTCCTGTCCGTCTCTCACCCTTCTTTATCTCCACAGGGCTCGCAACTACGCTGGGGCCTATAGAGAGTGGTTGGAGAAAGAGGGTTAGGCAGCAGTCGGCTTACTGATTGCCACCCCCTGGTCCCTTAATGGCCACCTTAATTAAGGGTGTGAAGGGGCTGACTTGGTGAGTTGGGCAACTCCTTATAGTGTTGTGCACACAAAAGCATCAAATAAAGAACATTTAATCAAAGTATTGGAAGCACTTAATGTGTCAGGTGGACTGAAAACAGTTCTAATCTTTATCTAGACCTCAGTTCAGTCCTGGATCATCATTTCTCAGCATTCATCTGCTTCCCCTAGCACTCCCCACATGCAAAATTCTAGCAGTTTCCTGAGAGGCTACAATGTACAGTACTTCTAGAATAGCTGTTTTCAACCCAGAATGCACATCAGAATCAGCAAGTTTTTTTTGTTTGTTTGTTTTATTTTTAAATTCAGAATATGGAGGGTGGAGCCGGAGCATTAGTGGCTTTATGGGCCCCTGGGGTGATTCTTATATGCAGCCAGAAGCAGGTACCACTGCTTTAGAGGTCAGCAAACTATGGCCCCAACTGGCTGGCTGCTGTGAACTTTGGTTATTGTCTATGGCTGCTTTGTCCATGGATTGAGGAGGTGAAAGGGCAATCCCAGGCCTTTGGGTGAGGGAATGGATAGTACCCTTCATCCCTACTGATGTGTCATGCACAGATTACAGGCGTGAGGAGCCTTTCCTGTGCCACCAAAACCAGGTTTCGGTTTTTATCAACACTGATCTCTTATACTGGATTTAACAAATTTAATTGGTTGACCAGGTGCGGTGGCTAAGGCCTGTAATCCCAGCACTTTAGGAGGCCGAGGTGGCAGATCACCTGAGGTCAGGAGTTCAAGACCAGCCTGCCCAACATGGTGAAACCCCATCTCTACCAAAAATAAAAAAAGTGTCCGGGTATGGTAGTGCACACCTGTAGTCTCAGCTACTTGGGAGGCTGAGGCAGGAGAATTGCCTGAACCCAGGAGGTGGAGGTTGCAGTGAGCCGAGATCATGCCACTGCACTCCAGCCTGGGTGACAGAGACAGACTCGGTCTCAAAAAAACCAAAATTTAATTGGTTAAAAAGATGAAATTATGCATGCTTACTGAAACAAAATTCAGCACTACACAGTAGGTATATGACTTCCCTCTAATATAGTGTATAGTTTGATGCACAATACATTTTAAATATTTTTGTGGCAAAGTTTTTACCTCTTAAGTTTGATTTTTGGAAAATGTATTCCTTAATTTGTGGAAGAGAAGATTGAGTCAGAAATGAATCCAGGTTTCTGAGTTTTCATGCCTCTGAAGAACTTCTTTCACGCATTTCCTACATTCCTTGCCTTTCTCTCACGTCCTTTTCCTCCCGTCTGCCTTCTCCACTATACCCAGCCCTCATTCATTCATTCATTTTTGAGATGGAGTTTCGCTCTTGTAATCCATCCTGGGATTACAGGCATGCGCCACCATACCTAGCTAATTTTGTATTTTTAGTAGAGACGAGGTTTCACCATGTTGGTCAGGCTGGTCTTGAACTTAGGTGATCCGCCTGCCTCTGCCTCCCAAAGTACTGAGATTACAGGAGTGAGCCACTGCACCTGGCCCCTCCTACATCTTTTATCTCATAGTAGGCACTCCATACACAATGAAATCTGCTATTCATCTGGGCTCTCCAGCTTCCCTGTCACACAGCTATCCTACTTTCTCCCTGGGCTCATCTTGCCACTTGTATGAGTTTAGCCAGACGTTGTTGAGTTTGGAGATAAAGTTGAAATATATGAAAGAGTCTAACTGAGAGTCTGGCAAATAGTGTCAATTACCCTTTCCCCAAATACCAAAAACGTTTTGGTTTTCAGAAAGGTGTGGAAGTTTCTTCTGGGGCCTTATTTCCTTCTTTGTTTTGTCTTAACTCTTTTAGTCTTATGTTTTCCCCTCTCCAGGTCTTTATTATAATTTGGTTATAGCATTTTATTATTATTATTGAGGCATAATTTACTTATAATAAAATGCACAATTCTTGCTTGGCCCAGCGTGGTGGTTCATGCCTGTAATCCTAGCACTTTGGGAAGCTGAGGTGGGCAGGTCTCTTGAGGCCAGGAGTTCAAGACCAGCCTGGCCAACATGGGGAAACCCTGTCTCTACTAAAAATACAAAAATGTGCTGGGCATGGTGGTGTTCACCTGTAGTCCCAGCTACTCTGGTGGCTGAGGCATAGGCATGAGAACTACTTGAACCCAGGAGGCAGAAGTTGCAGTGAACCGAGATCACGTCACTGTACTCCAGCCTGGGTGACAGAGCGAGACTCTGTCTCAAAAAAAATAATAAATAAATATAAAATGCACAATTCTTTTTTTTTCCTTTTTTTTTTCCTTTTTTTACCTGTGGTTGGCAGTTTATTTTAGAAAAACAACTCCCCAGTTATCACAGTTTCTTTTTAGTCCATTTTCCATGACAAAAGAAGCTACACAAAATTTGGGGGGAGATACTGTCTTTGCAGACTTTGCAGATACATTTGCAGAGGGGTCATGAATAATAATGATTTCAAAGCTCCTAGTTTAACTCCTGAATCGGACAAAGAATAAATGACAATATAAGAATGAATTTTGTTTACAATAATATCATAATATAGCATTAATTATAATGCAGTGGTTGTAATTAAATTCACAGTAAAATATTCTTAACCCAAACACCAGACAAACTAAAATCACCAGACTGCTCATGAACTGAAATGATCAGTGCAAGCAGTTGTTGTCTCAGTAATGAAAACCAAAATCGGTAAGGCTTTTCTGGCAGGGAGTCTCTGACAGGAACAGGCCCTCTCTCTGTTCAGTGAGGCCCAGGCGCCCTCACTTGGAGTCTTGGTCTTTCTTTTCATCTAAAAGGGCAGAATGGATCCCCAACTTTTTCAGTTCTTCCATCAGGTACCCATTCTAGTGCATATGCATAAGAATGTCACAGCCCCCCACAAACTCGCCATTAAGGTACACTTGTAGGATAGTGGGCCAGTTGGAATCGTCTTTTTTTTTTTTTTGAGACAGAGTTTCACTCTTGTTGCCCAGGTTGGAGTGCAATGGGGCGATCTCAGCTCACTGCAGCCTCTACCTCCCGGGTTCAAGTGATTCTCCTGCCTTAGCTTCCCAAGTAGTTGGGATTACAGGCATGTGCCACCACGCCCTGCTAATTTTGTATTTTTAGTAGAGATGGGATTTCTCTGTGTTGGTCAGGCTGGTCTCGAACTCCCAACCTCAGGTAATCTGCGCACCTCAGCCTCTCAAAGTGCTGGGATTATAGTCGTGAGCCACCGCACCCGACTGGAATAGTCTTTATTTTATTTATTTATTTATTCATTTATTTATTTATTTATTTATTTATGAGTTTCACTCTTGTTGCCCAGGCTGGAGTGTAATCGCACGATCTCGGCTCACCACAACCTCTGCCTCCCGGGTTCAAGTGATTCTCCTGCCTCAGCCTCCCAAGTAGCTGGGATTATGGGCATGCACCACCACACCTGGCTAATTTTGTATCTTTAATAGAGATGGGTTTTCTCCATGCTAGTCAGGCTGGT